TGATAGGTGGCCACCTGGGCAATAAGTCCATCCGTGACATTTCCTGGCTACTAAATATTCCACGCTCAACTGTTAGTGGGATTATAACAAAGTGGAAGCCACTGGGAACAACAGCCACTCAGCCACCAAGTGGTAGGCCACGTCACATGATAGAGCGGGGTCAGCGCATGCTGAAGCGCACAGTGCGCAGAAGTCGCCAACTGTCTGCAGAGTCAATAGCTAAAGACCTCCAAACTTGGTGTGGCCTTCAGATGAGCCCAACAACAGTGTGTAGAGAGCTTCATGGAATGGGTTTCCATGGCTGAGCAGCTGCATCCAAGTCTTCCAGCACCAAGTGCAATGCAAAGCTTCGAATGCCGTGGTGTAAAGCACGCCGCCACTGGACTCTAGAGCAGTGGAGACGTGTTCTCTGGAGTGACCAATCACGCTTCTCTGTCTGGCAATCCGATGGACGTGTTTTTCGGTTGCCAGAAGAACAGTACTTGCCTGACTGCATTGTGCCAAGTGTAAAGTTTGGTGGAGGGGGGGATTATGGTGTGGGTTTGTTTTTCAGGGGTTGGGCTTGGCCCTCTAGTTCCAGTGAAGGCAACTCTTAAGGTGACATTTTGGACAATTTCATGCTCCCAACTTTGTGGGAAAAGTTTGGGGATGGCCCTTTCCTGCTCCAACATGACTGCCCACCAGTGCACAAAGCAAGGTCCATAAAGACATGGAGGAGCCAGTTTGGGGTGGAGGAACTTGACTGGCCTGCACAGAGTCCTGACCTCAACCCCATAGAACACCTTTGGGATGAATTAGAGCGGACACTGCGAGCCAGGCCTCCTCCCCCGACATCAGTGCCTGACCTGACAAATGTGCGTCTGGAAGAATGGTCCAACCTTCCCATAGACACCCCTCCTAAACCTTGTGGACGGCCTTCCTAGAAGAGTTGAAGCTGTTATAGCTGCAAAGGGCGGGGCCAACTCAATATTGAACCCTACGGACTAAGACTGGGAGGCCATTAAAGGTCATGTGTGTGGAAAGGGCGGGGCCAACTCAATATTGAACCTTACGGACTAAGACTGGGGGGCCATTAAAGTTCATGTGTGTGGAAAGGGGGGGGGCCAACTCAATATTGAACCCTACGGACTAAGACTGGGAGGCCATTAAAGGTCATGTGTGTGGAAAGGGCTGGGGCCAATACTTTGGCAATATTTGTTGAAGGGCCTGGCCAAAAGCCCCGTGAACCCTACGGAACGCGTAAGACTGGAGAGGCCATATAAAGGTCATGTGTGTGGAAAGGCAGGGGGAGGTGTCGGGTGGGGGGACATTTGGCAATATAGTGTATCTACCTAATCTATATCTACAGTTGAGATCTAAGGTCCTGATAAAGCGGGTCACCCCACGAAACGCGTTTTGGTTGGAATAATCCTGTAACTAAAGATCTCTGAGGAACTTCCATGCTATAGTCCTTCCATTCAATTACGTGGATCCACAAGTGGTACAGGTGACATCCTATTTCAAACTGTATATGTGGTTTTTAAAGGAAAACGTTTTTTTTTTTTTTTGATTAATAATTGGACGTGTCGTACGTTGGGTTGGTTATTTATGTAAATGGTGTGTGTCAGTTGTACATTTTGTTGAAACATTAGGGTGTATCTTAATTATTGGGGGGAGTGGTGCACGGATTTCTGTGTTTGATGGACGTGGGGCGGGCATTTGTGGAGGTGTATTTGTGTTTTTAATTGGGATGAGCAGACGGGGTGGGTCCATAGGATTTTAATGTTCATTTCACTGAAGGTGTTCTCAACATGGCTATAGGAACATACTGGGGGTTATGGTGGGGTGGTGGTGCACACACAAAGTTTCCTTTCATCTTTTATCCCCAGCTTGGGGGTCAGGTTATTTTTAAATCATTTCCAGGAGACATTCACAGCACTGCGCTAGTTTTAAAATACATCCACATTCCAGATATTCTGAGGTGGATCCAAAAGCAGTTGTGTTTTAATTGGAGAGGACACATGCCACCACTTCACTCCAATTGAGTTTAATGTCATTTCCACTTTGCAGGAGAATTTGGATTAACGATGCTACTTTATACGGGTGGACCATGGAAACCCTTCCAGTCCGGGTCACTGTCAACCCCTTCCTGTCCGGTCGGGGAGAGGACACTTTCACTCACTTCGTCAGTCACCGGACACTTTCCCCCCCTCGCCACCCCCAGTCCAAGGGATCCTCGGGACACTTTCACCCCCTTATTCCAGTGACGACACTTTCCCCCCCTTCCAGTCCGGTGGACACTTTCACCCCCTTTCCAGTCCGGACACTTTCCCCCCCCCTTCAGTCCGGACACTTTCCCCCCCATTGCCAGTCCGGACACTTTCCCCCCCTTCCAGTCCGTCCGGACACTTTCCCCCCCTTCCAGTCCGGACACTTTCCCCCCCTTCCAGTCCGGACGCTTTCACCCATTCAGGACACTTTCCCCCCTTCCGTCCGGACACTTTCCCCTTTCCAGTCGGGACACTTTCCCCCCTTTCCAGTCCGGACACTTTCACCCCCTTCCAGTCCGGACCACTTTCACCCCCCCTTCCAGTTCCGGGACACTTTCCCCCCCTTCCAGTCCGGACACTTTCCCCCCCTTCCCCACGGACACTTTTCCCCCCCTTCCAGTTCGGACCCACTTTCCCCCCCTCCCAGTCGGACACTTTCACCCAGCCCTTCCAGTCCGGACACTTTCACCCCCCCTTCCAGTCCGGGACACTTTCACCCCCCTTCCTCAGTCTGGCTGCACTTTCCCCCCCCCCCCTCCAGTCCGACACTTTCACCCCCCCCTTCCAATGTCCGGAACACTTTCACCCCCTTCCAGTCCGGACACTTTTCCCCCCCCTTCCAGTCCGGACACTTTCCCCCCTTCCAGTTCAGACACTTTCCCCCCCCTTCCAGTCCGGACACTTTCACCCCCTTCCAGTCCAGACACTTTCCCCGCCTTCCAGTCGGACACTTTCCCCCCCCTTCCAGTCCGGACACTTTCCCCTCCTTCCAGTCCGGACACTTTCAAACCCCTTCCTGTCCGGGAAACTTTCACCCCCTTCCAGTCCGGACACTTTCCCCCCCTTCCAGTCCGGACACTTTCCCCCCCTTCCAGTCCGGACACTTTCACACCCTTCTAGTCCGGACACTTCCCCCCCCCACCTTCCAGTCCGGACACTTTCAACCCCCCTTCCAGTCCGGATTCCCCCCCCTTCCAGTCCGGGACACTTTCCCCCCTTTCCAGTCCGGCCCCACTTTCCCCCCTTCCAATCCGGACACTTTCCACCCCTTCCTGTCCGGACACTTTCACCCCCTTCCAGTCTGGGGGGGGGACTTTCCCCCGTTCCTGTCCAGGCCAATTTTCAGCTTTCAGCGCTGTCATACTTTGAATGACAATTGGGCGGTCATGCAACACTGTACCCATACAAATTTTTTTGGAGACAGATAAAGCTTTATTTTGGTGGTATTTATTCACCACTGGGATTTTTTTTTTTTGGCTATATAAATGAAAAAGTCCAAAAATGTTGAAAAAAAGTGTTTTTCCTTATAAAAAGTTTGCAAATATATAATCTTTCTTCATAAATCTTGGCCAAAATTTATTCATCTATCTTTTTAGTAAAAAAAAAAATAACCCCAAATTAGTTTATAACCAAAAATTTTAATTTTTCAAAATCTTTCTTACATTTTTATTTTATTTTTTTATTATTTTTTATGTTGTTTTTTTTTTAACATACTGTCACCCTAGCAGTACAGTGTGTCACCATGGTGACACTGTACTACTTGTGGGAGGGTATATAAGATTTTTTTTTTTTTTTACACTTGATTGCTTTTTACACCTATAAAGGCTGTAAAAGCAATCATTTCTCTCCTTCTCCTGCAGCCACTGAGGAAATACTGTGAGAGCTGTGATTGGTCACAACCTTGTCACATGGTACAAGGCCTGTTGTGAATAGCCTTGTACCATGTGACCTCTGTGACAGGGGTTGGACTGACAACTCATGGGGCCCCAGGCAATAGGGGATCATGGGGTCCCCGGGCAATAGGGGATCAAGGGGCCCCTGTGTCCTTGCCCAAACTCAAAAAAGCCTATGAAAAAGGTACCAGGGGCATTCATGGGGCCCCCTACTGACCCCGGCCCCTCGGGCAGTGCCCGAGTTTCCAAATGGTCAGTTCGCCCCTGCTGTAAAGGTTCCCTCAAACTATGCAAGGGTCTATTATGTACAGGCAAATCAACCTGGCATAAAACAAACCAAGAAAATCCTTTAATGTCCGGATTTGCCAAGTTGATTTGTAAGTGTCTTATTTAGAGATTTTTATTTACGTATCTCATTTTGTTGTATTTAATCCATAGATATCCTGCCAGTAGCATTTTCTCCTGAGGAAGTGAATGATGGTTTACGAAACGTGTAGAGATTTTAGATTTAGATTCTGAATACTTTATTAATCCCAAAGGTAAATTATTAAAATACTGTTCCAGTCAACAAAGACAACATAACAAACAAAAACAAGACAGTATAACAATAAAATGACCAATAACAGCACATTAATACTAAATTAATACTATACTGTAAATGAATCATGACCATCCATTCTATTCAAAACCACTTCCAGTCCGGACACTTTCCCCCCTTCCAGTCCGGACACTTTCACCCCCTTCCAGTCCGGACACTTTCACCCCCTTCCATCCGGACACTTTCCCCCCCCTTCCAGTCCGGACACTTTCCCCCCCTTCCAGTCCGGACACTTTCCCCCCCCCTTCCAGTCCGGACACTTTCACCCCCTTCCAGTCCGGACACTTTCATCCCCTTCCAGTCCGGACACTTTCACCCCTTCCAGTCCGGACACTTTCACCCCCCTTCCAGTCCGGACACTTTCACCCCCTTCCAGTCCGGACACTTTCACCCCCTTCCCAGTTCAGAACACTTTCCCCCCCCTTCCAGTCCGGACACTTTCACCCCCCCCTTCCAGTCCAGACACTTTCCCCCCCTTCCAGTCCGGACACTTTCACCCCCCTTCCAGTCCGGACACTTTCACCCCCCTTCCCAGTCCGGGACACTTTCACCCCCTTCCAGTCCGGACACTTTCCCCTCCTTCCAGTCCGGACACTTTCCCCCTTCCTGTCCGGAACTTTCACCCCCTTCCAGTCCGGACACTTTCCCCCCCTTCCAGTCCGGACACTTTCCCCCCCTTCCAGTCCGGACACTTTCACACCCTTCTAGTCCGGACACTTCCCCCCCCCCTTCCAGTCCGGACACTTTCACCCCCTTCCAGTCCGCCACACTTCCCCCCCCTTCCAGTCCGGACACTTTCCCCCCCTTCCAGTCCGGGACACTTTCCCCCCCCCCCAGTCCGGACACTTTCCCCCCCCCCCAATCCGGACACTTTCACCCCCTTCCTGTCCGGACACTTTCACCCCCCTTCCAGTCTGGACACTTTCCCCCGTTCCTGTCCAGGCCAATTTTCAGCTTTCAGCGCTGTCATACTTTGAATGACAATTGCGCGGTCATGCAACACTGTACCCATACAAATTTTTTTTTTTGCATTTTTTTGAGACAGATATAAAGCTTTATTTTGGTGGTATTTATTCACCACTAGGATTTTTTTTTTTTGGCTATATAAATGAAAAAGTCCAAAAATGTTGAAAAAAAGTGTTTTTCTTATAAAAGTTTGCAAATATATAATCTTTCTTCATAAATCTTGGCCAAAATTTATTCATCTATCTTTTTAGTAAAAAAAAAAATAACCCAAATTAGTTTATAACCAAAAATTTTAATTTTTCAAAATCTTTCTTACATTTTTATTTTATTTTTTATATTATTATTTATGTTGTTTTTTTTTTAACATACTGTCACCCTAGCAGTACAGTGTCACCATGGTGACACTGTACTACTTGTGGGAGGGTATAAAGATTTTTTTTTTTTTTTACACTGATTGCTTTTACACCTATAAAGGCTGTAAAAGCAATCATTTCTCCTTCTCCTGCAGCCACTGAGAAATACTGTGAGAGCTGTGATTGGTCACACCTTGTCACATGGTACAAGGCTGTTGTGAATAGCCTTGTACCATGTGACCTCTGTGACAGGGGTGGACTGACAACTCATGGGGCCCCCAGGCAATAGGGGATCATGGGGTCCCCGGGCAATAGGGGATCAAGGGGCCCCTGTGTCCTTGCCCAAACTCAAAAAAAGCCTATGAAAAAGGTACCAGGGGCATCTCATGGGGCCCCCTACTGACCCCGGGCCCTCGGGCAGTGCCCGAGTTTCCAAATGGTCAGTTCGCCCCTGCTGTAAAGGTTCCCTCAAACTATGCAAGGGTCTATTATGTACAGGCAAATCAACCTGGCATAAAACAAACCAAGAAAATCCTTATAATGTCCGGATTTGCCAAGTTGATTTGTAAGTGTCTTATTTAGAGATTTTTATTTACGTATCTCATTTTGTTGTATTTAATCCATAGATATCCTGCCAGTAGCATTTTCTCCTGAGGAAGTGAATGATGGTTTACGAAACGTGTAGAGATTTTAGATTTAGATTCTGAATACTTTATTAATCCCAAAAGTAAATTATTAAAATACTGTTCCAGTCAACAAAGACAACATAACAAACAAAAACAAGACAGTATAACAATAAAATGACCAATAACAGCACATTAATACTAAATTAATACTATACTGTAATGAATCATTCCATTCTATTAACCACTTCCAGTCCGGACACTTTCCCCCCCTTCCAGTCCGGACACTTTCACCCCCTTCCAGTCCGGACACTTTCACCCCCCTTCCAGTCCGACACTTTCACCCCCCCCCCAGGGACACTTTCACCCCTTCCAGTCCGGACACTTTCACCCCCTTACCACCCCCTTCCAGTCCGGACACTTTCACCCCCTTCCTGCCAAGGCCAATTTTCAGCTTTCAGAGCTATCACACTTTGAAGTGACATCTTGCTTACTACTCTTCATGTGATCATGTGAGATGAGATTGGTATACCTTGGGGCAGGGCTGTGGATGCCCACATGGAAGAAAAATATATTTTAAAAATATTCTTCCCATATATATTGACATATATTTGAAATGCTACAATTTTGGCCATATTCAATATATTTGAAAAAAAAAAAAAAAAAAAAAAAAAATATATATATATATATATATATATATAGTTGCTGTATTATCTCCAATTATATTGTACAGTGCCGAGCAAACTGTTGGCGCTATATAAATTCTGTATAATAATAATAACTAATAATATATATATATATATATATATATATATATATATATAGTATGTTGAAATTCATTTTTATTATTAAAATATATGAAAAATATTTTTAAAAATACATTTCAAATATACTCTATGTCTTTAAAAATACAAATCTACATTTTTGCAATGCATTTACAAATATATGTTCAAATACATGTTAAAATGACTTTTTTATGTGTTAAAAAAAATCTGAAGAATATATTTAAAAAATATATATTTGAAAAAAATATTTTTCATATATTTTGTAATACATAAAAACCCCATTCCAACATGCAGTATATTTATATATATTTATTGAAATATATTTAGAAATATATTGAATATGGCCTGCATTGTAGCATTTCAAATATATTTTTCTTCCATATGGGAGCAGGCCCAGATTAGGAAAAGGAAATATTGGGTTTACATTTTCTTTAACCCCTTGGCGCCGGTGCCTCCTGGCCCTTTAAGGGTTTCAGAAGCCGGGAGGCGGGGCGGGGTTTTAAGGTCATGCGTGCAATTAAGAAAAACATATGTGCTGAGAGCGCGCGCCCTGCGTGCTTCCAGCACACATGTCCGGTACTTCACGGAAAGGTCCCAATCATGCGACCGCCGTGACGGCGAATCATGGCGGTCACATGATCTGGAAAGGTCCCGATCGAAAGAGGAGATCGGGACCTTTCCGTGAGTACCGGACATGTGTGCTGGTAGCGTGAAGGGCGTGCGCTCTCAGCACATATGTTTTTCTTAATTGCACGCAAATGTGCGGATGCTCGGCGTCAAGGCCCAGACAACGGGAGGCCCGCACATTTGCGTGCGGCCAGCGCAATGAGATTAACCACTTGCCCTCAGGACGTTGAACCTGGATGGCTTGGTTCACCAGAACGCATTGGGCGACGTGTAAACTTTAGAACAGGGGCGGACTGACAACTCCTGGGGCCCCCGGGCAATAAGGGATCATGGGGCCCCTGTGTCCTTGCCCAAACTCAAAAAAGCCTATGAAAAAGGTACCAGGAACATCTCATGGGGCCCCCTACTGACCCTGGACCCTTGGGCAGTGCCCGAGTTTCCAAATGGTCAGTCCGCCCCCAGCTTTAGAACGATCGACATCTGTTGGGAGGCTGATGAGGGAAACCCTGCAGAGATCTTTGGAGCATGAGGGCATCTTCCCCATTACTCTACATCTTGATGACATATTTAGTTGATGGAAACTTTTTTTTTTTTTTGCCTCTTGATGTTTGACAGCACTGGATTTAAACCCCTTGGAATGGTTCAGGTCCCTCAGTCTACATGGTGTTTGTGGCTCTCTGTATCTGGAAACTGATGGAAAGCCGTGCGGATTTCTCTGTTACGTCTCTCTGATGGTGCGGCATTGCCGGAAAGGTCATTGTCCTCTGACACCAAGGGGACCCAGTCAACAGCGCCTCCTTCTGGGGTGAGCACAAGGGAGGGACAAGACCTGTGAGTGTTGTTGATCTGCAGCAGAGAAAACGCAGGTCTCCTCCCTCCCAGGTAGGCCTGTGCTGTGTGGCGGAGCTTTTTACTTGTTACAACTGGATAGATAGGAATACAAATCCTTTGGCAGATAAAACAGCTCCCATAAATGTATTTCATGCGTATATTTAGCTGTTTGCCTGGAGAACAGCTTTAAAATGACACGACTCTACCACATAAAAACATAAAATCGCAACTGTTAGGGAGAGTTATTGCTGAGCTTACTTTGCATACATATGTCTATTATTTGCATCCCGCGCTGCACTACTGTTGTGAAGACGGACTCCGCAGGGTGCACCACGCACCGGGGGCTGTGCATTCTAGAAGGCAGGGATATCGTTGGTTGGTCCTTTCAGCCCCAAATCCAATCACTGTCCAAATCTTGTAGACTTCACCTCCGCAACATCTCCAACCTCCACAACATCTCCAACCTCTGCAACATCTCCAACCTCTACAACATCTCTAAGATACGCAACATCTCCAACCTCTACAACATCTCCAACCTCCGCAACATCTCCAAGATACGCAACATCTCCAGCCTCCCCAACATCTCCAACCTCCGCAAAATCTACAACCTCCGCAACATCTCCAACCTCCGCAACATCTCCAACCTTCGCAACACCTCCAACCTCCGCAACATCTCCAACCTCCCCAACATCTCCAACCTCCGCAACATCTCCAACCTCCGCAATATCTCCAACCTCCGGAGATACAACTAAGCAACTTATTCCCTCCCTGGTTATCTCTCACCTTGACTATTGTAACTCCCTCCTCATTGGCCAACCTCATCACAGGCTATCCCCTCTTCAGCCTATCATGAATGCTGCTGCCAGACTCATCCACCTTACTAACCGTTCTGTATCTGCCACCCCTCTATGCCAATCCCTCCACTGGCCTCCACTCAGTGTCCTCCATCCCTCTCTGCCAATCCCTCCACTGGCCTCCACTCAGTGTCCTCCACCCCTCTCTGCCAATCCCTCCACTGGCCTTCACTCAGTGTCCTCCATCCCTCTCTGCCAATCCCTCCACTGGCCTCCACTCAGTGTCCTCCACCCCTCTCTGCCAATCCCTCCACTGGCCTCCGCTCAGTGTCCTCCCTCCCTCTCTGCCAATCCCTCCACTGGCCTCCACTCAGTGTCCTCCGCCCCTCTCTGCCAATCACTCCACTGACCACCGCTTAGTGTCCTCCACCCCTCTCTGCCAATCCCTCCACTGGCCTCTGCTCAGTGTCCGCCATCCCTCTATGTCAATCCCTCCACTGGCCTCCACTCAGTGTCCTCCACCCCTCTCTGCCAATCCCTCCACTGGCCTCCACTCAGTGTCCTCCAACCCTCTCTGCCAACCCCTCCACTGGCCTCCACTCAGTGTTCTCCCTCCCTCTCTGCCAATCCCTCCACTGGCCTCCGCAACAGTGTCCTCCACCCCTCTCTGCCAATCACTCCACTGGCCTCCGCAACAGTGTCCTCCACCCCTCTTTGCCAATCTCTCCACTGGCCTCCACTCAGTGTCCTCCACCCCTCTCTGTCAATCCCCTCCACTGGCTGTCCCAATTGCCCAATGCCCAATAATACAATTCAAAACATTAACAATAACATATAAAGCCATTTATAACTCCGCCCCAAATTACATCACCGATCTTGTCTCCAAATATCACCCAAACCGTACTCTCTGCTCCTCCCACGACCTCCTGCTCTCTAGCTCCCTTGTCTCCTCCTCCTATTCTCATCTCCAGGACTTCTCCAGAGCCTCCCCCATCCTCTGGAACTCTCTACCCAAATCTATCCAACTATCGCCTACTCTGCCCACTTTTAGGTGATCTCTGAAAACCTCTCTCTTCAGGGAAGCCTATCCTGCCCTCAGCTAATAATGGAATCTTCTATTCCTCCTGCCAGTCCATCCCCCACAGTTATTACCTTTTGTACCACTAGCCCCTCCCTCCTAGATTGTAAGCTCCCAGTATCAGGGCCCTCCTATCCCTCTTGTATTGAACTGTATTGTTGCTGTATTGTCTCCCATTATATTGTAAAGTGCTGAGCAAACTGTTGGCGCCATAAATCCTGTATAATAATAAATAGGGACAGGTGAACCCGCGAGTGAAGTCTATGAGCCCCAGTGGCATATCCTCCTAGAGTGCAATGTGTGCAGTGCACATGGGCCCCAAGGTGGGGGCCCACTGTGCCCACACAATGCGCAACAGAAGGAGGTGTCGCTTCTGTGCCCTTGCTGCAGCTGCGATTACCAGCCACAGCTGCAGCGAAGACCCATCTAGCAATTGTGCTGCGGAGGAGTTTGGGGGCCAGCGGCAGGGGGAGAGGATCTTCTGAAAAATCTCATCCTGGGCACATGACAGATGCCTAGCAGCTGTGAGGTTCAGTTTGAGCTCGGCTCCTTCCCCAGCAGATGCATTAGAATATGGCTGCAGAATGAACACAGGGAGGATTTGCTTTTTCCCATGAAGTTCTATGGCATGGTGCAAGTTGGTGGATTGTGTCGCACTGTGCTGCACTGTAAAAAAAGTAGTGCTTTGTAGCACCATTTGTCAGCGTTGCGGTGGTGTGAATTGGCACAAACAGGACCTTAGGGATCATTCACATTAGCAGTTAGGGGGCTGTGAAACCCTGCGGCCGTCCCCAACTGCTCCCCCTTTAGTTGGGAAGGCAGAGGCTAGGGGTATACACGGTGCTTTGCTTTGAACCTGCAGCAGGAATTATAACCAACGCACAGAAGTGAATGGAACAGAATTGTAACCTACCTACAACCTCGCACAACGCATGCAGATGAGACGTGGTCAGGGGCGGACTGACCGTTTGAAAACTCGGGCACTGCCCGAGGGCCCGGGGTCAGTAGGGGGCCCCATGAGATGCCCCTGGTACCTTTTTCATAGGCTTTTTTGAGTTTGGGCAAGGACACAGGGGCCCCATGATCCTCTATTGCCCGGGGGCCCCATGAGTTGCCCCTGGGCGTGGTATTCTGTTATTTAGGTACAACACATCCTCATCGCCTATCAAATGCTCTCTGAAGAACGATCTAAATCAGGATAGCTCTTCAGAAAGTAAAGCAAGCGTAAACGAGCCCTAATTAATATGTGTGGCTCGATCGCCCCCCTCCCCCAGCAGCTTTAGGAATCACTCGATTGTAACTTGCTGAATGAACACATGCGCTGTAGGCACAGGTACAGGTACTGTGCGGGGGAGGGCTGTGCTGTGGGATTGAGTGTCACTTACTGTTGACCTCTGAACTCACTGTTACTTTCTACTGACCCCTGAACTCTGCATAACTTACTCCTGACCTCTAAACTCTGCATCACTTACTCCTGACCCCTAAACTTTGCATCACGTACTCCTGACCCCTAAACTCTGCATCACTTAATCCTGATCCCTGAACTCTGCATCACTTAATCCTGACCCCTGAACTCTGCATCACTTACTCCTGACCCCTGAACTCTGCATTACTTACTCCTGACCCCTGAACTCTACATCACTTACTCCCGATCCATGATCCATCCTGATCCCTGAACTCTGCATCACTTAATCCTGATCCCTGAACTCTGCATCACTTAATCCTGATCCCTGAACTCTGCATCACTTAATCCTGACCCCTGAACTCTGCATCACTTACTCCTGACCCTGCATCTGAACTCCCTGAACTCTGCCTCACACAACTGACCCCCTGAACTCTGCATCTTACTCCGATCCCTGAACTCTGCATCACTTAATCCTGATCCCTCCAACTCTGCATCACTTAATCCTGACCCCTGAACTCTGCATTACTTACTCCATGACCCCTGAACTCTGCATCACTTACTCCCGATCCATGAACTCTGCATCACTCCTGACCCCTGAACTCTACATCACTTACTCCTGATCCCTGAACTCTGCATCACTTAATCCTGACCCCTGAACTCTGCATCACTTACTCCTGACCCCTGAACTCTGCATTACTTACTCCTGACCCCTGAACTCTACATCACTTACTCCCGATCCATGAACTCTGCCTGATCAACTTACTCACTGACCCCTGAACTCTGCATCACTTACTCCTGACCCCTGAACTCTGCATTAACTCTGCATCTACATCACTTACTCCCCGATCCATGAACTCTGCATCACTTACTCCTGACCCCTGAACTCTGCATCACTTACTCCTGACCCCTGAACTCTGCATCACTTAATCTTCTGACCCCTGAACTCTGCATTACTTACTTCTGACCCCTGAACTCTGCATTACTTACTTACTTCTACATCACTTACCCTCCATGATCACTTAATCCTGATCCCTGAACTCTGCATCACTTAATCTGACCCCTGAACTCTGCATCACTTACTCCTGACCCCTGAACTCTGCATTACTTACTCCTGACCCCTTACATCACTTACCCCGATCCATGAACTCTGCATCTCTGACTCAACTCATCACTTACCCCTGAACCTGATCACTTACTCCCGATGAACTCTGCATCACTTACTTCTGACCCCTGAACTCTGCATTACTTACTTCTGACCCCTGAACTCTGCATTACCTTCTGAACTCTGCATTACTTACTTCTGAACTCCCTTCTGACCCCTGAACTCTGCATGCTTACTTCTGATTGAACTCTGCTTTACTCCTGACCCCTGAACTCTGCATCACTGTGAACTCTGCATTACTTACTTCTGACCCCTGCATTACTTACTTCTGACCCCTGAACTCTGCATTATTACTTACTGCACTGTGTTTCCTTCTGACCCCTGAACTCTGCATTACTTACTTCTGACCCCTGAACTCTGCATCGCTTACTCCTGACCCCTGAACTCTGCATCACTTACTCCTGACCCCTGAACTCTGCATCACTTACTTCCTGACTGAACCCTGAAACTCTGCATCACTTACTTCTGACCCCTGAACTCTGCATTACTTACTTCTGACCCCTGCACTGTGTTCCTTCTGACCCCTGAACTCTGCATTACTTACTTCTGACCCCTGAACTCTGCATTACTTACTTCTGACCCCTGAACTCTGCATTACTTACTTCTGACCCCTGCACTGTCTTCCTTAAAGTCACAGTCAATATTCAGCCCAGGGAAAACCACACCCAATTTTTGCCACTTTCTTTTTCTCAGGCAGCAGGGCTCAACTCATGATCTTGCCAATGTGACAAAGATTGGTTGCTGGTACATGGGCTCTGACACCTCCATCCCTCATCATTTCAAAAGAAACCAAATCTGGATAGGTGTGGAACTTCTCAGAGGTACTCCAGCACAATAAATTATGTATACAACCAATCCACCTTATTGAACATATAAAGACACATATAAAAGATTAACACGTATTTTGCTCCAGGTACTGATTTACATTTTCACAAATGTGACCACATATTCAAATGGCCTCTTCATGGAACTTGCAAATCAGACAGATGGATAAATTGCACCACTTATCCCGTTTCGTGAACCATCATTCACTTCCTCAGGAGTCGATGTTACTGACAGGATGTCTATGGATTCAATACAACAAAAATAAAGATACATAATAAAAACATAATACATACTGTAGGGCAGGGATTAAAACTTCAAGTATTGAGCTACTAGCCAAGCCTTAAGACATACTCGCCACCAACAAACACACAGACACCTGTACACACACAGACATGTACATACACATACACACAGACATGTACATACACATACACACAGAAACATGTACACAAACGTACAGAGACACATGTACACACACACACATACAGACACATGTATACACACACAGGCACACACAGACATGTACATACACACAGACATGTACATACACATACACACAGAAACATGTACACACACGCACAGAGACACATGTACACACATACAGACACATGTATACACACACAGGCACGTACAGACATGCATACACACAGATACATGTACATACACAGAAATACACATGCACAGACACATGTACATACACACAAACACATGTACATACATACACATGTACATGCACACACACACATACATGCAGACACATGTACAGATACACACATGTACACAGACATGTATACACACACGCTGTTAAGTGCTCTCTCCTCTCCCTTGAAGCCACCACTGGCTGACATAGAGGATCATGTGACCAGAGTGAGTTGAAATTAGATACACACACACACATACCGTATAAAAAGTTGCAGTACTTCGTTGTTCACTCACAGATCCGGGTACTGCACTCTAGGGGGAGGCAGAGAGCACAGCACACACTCCTTCCTTTGCTTTCACTGCGCTCAGCTATTGAGCAGTCTGACGGCTCCCAGTGCCAATGACAGATCCGGCCCGAGCTGCGAGCCTGCTCAGCAAGACGGCCCTGGGGGACACACTCGCCCCCACCATAATTTCCACTTGCCATTGGCGAGCAGGCGAGTGGAAATTTCAAGGCCTGCTGTAGAGGTTCCCTCAAACTATGCAAGGGTCTATTATGTACATGCAAATCAACCTGGCATAAAACAAACCAAGAAAATCCTTATAATGTCCGGATTTGCCAAGTTGATTTGTAAGTGTCTTATTTAGAGATTTTATTTACGTATCTCATTTTGTTGTATTTAATCCATAGATATCCTGCCAGTAGCATTTTCTCCTGAGGAAGTGAATGATGGTTTACAAAATGTGCCGAGGTTTTAGATTTAGATTCTGAATACTTTAATAATCCCAAAGGTAAATTATTAAAATACGGTTCCAGTCAACAAAGACAACATAAAATCACAATAACAAACAAAAACAAGACAGTATAACAATAAAATGACCAATAACAGCACATTAATAGTACATTATTACTATACTGTAATGAATCATACCATTCTATTAACCACTTCCAGTCCGGACACTTTCACCCCCCTTCCAGTCCGGACGCTTTCACCCCCTTCCAGTCCGGACGCTTTCACCCCCTTCCAGTCCGGACACTTTCACCCCCTTCCAGTCCGGACACTTTCCCCCCCTTCCACTCCGGACACTTTCCCCCTCTTCCAGTCCGGACACTTTCACCCCCTTCCAGTCCGAAAACTTTCCCCCCCTTCCAGTCCGGACACTTTCCCCCTCTTCCAGTCCGGACACTTTCCTCCCCTTCCAGTCCGGACACTTTCCCCCCCTTCCAGTCCGGACACTTTCACCCCCTTCCAGTCCGGACACTTTCCCCCCCTTCCAGTCCGGACACTTTCCCCCCCTTCCAGTCCGGACACTTTCACCCCCTTCCAGTCCGGACACTTTCCCCCCTTCCAGTCCGGACACTTTCACCCCCCTTTCAGTCCGGACACTTTCCCCCCCTTCCAGTCCGGACACTTTCCCCCCCTTCCAGTTCGGACACTTTCACCCCCTTCCTGCCCAGGCAATTTTCAGCTTTCAGCGCTATCACAATTTGAATGACAATTGCGCGGTCATGCAGCACTGTACCCATATGAATTTTTTAGAATTTTTTTTGAGACAGATAAAACTTTATTTTGGTGGTATTTATTCACCACTGGGATTTTTTTTTTTTTTTGCTAATATAAATGAAAAAAATTTTGAAAAGAAAGTGTTTTTCTTATAAAATTTTGAAAATAAATAATCTTTCTTCATAAATCTTGGCCAAAATTTATTCAGTTATCTTTTTAGTAAAGAAAAATAAGCCAAATTTGTTTATAACCAAAAATTATAATTTTTCAAATTTTTTTTTATTTTTTTTTTTTTTTTTTTATATTATTTATGTTTTTATTTTTTAACATACCGTCACCCTAGCAGTAGTGTCACCATAGTGGCACTGTACTACTTGTGGGGGGTGATGAAGATTTTTTTTTTGTACACTGATTGCTTTTACACCCATAAAGGCTGTAAAAGCAATCATTTCTCCTTCTCTCTGGATGCATTCTTGCAGCCATTGAGAAATACTGTGTGAGCTGTGATTGGTCACAGCTTGTCACATGGTACAAGGCTGTTGTGAACAGTCCTGTACCATGTGATCTCTGTAATCATTCACAGATTTCACACGTAGTAAGCAATGATTTCAGAAGTGACATCTTGTTTACACCTATTCATGTGATCACTGATTGGCCAATTGGTGATCACATGATCGGGACCTCACACAGAGGTCCCGTACAGCGATCAGTGTTCGGACACAGCGGGCACCGGATCTCGGAGTACACACAGACAGGGAATGCGGAGGCCATTTACTGTATGTACATGGGCCGGACAGGAAGTGGTTAATATACCTTCTATTTTAACCCAACTCTTCCCCTGTGAATTATATGTCCAATCTACAACTCATCACTGCATTGTGGTGCCGCGCGCTCCCAGGGAGTGTGCACAATTCAAAATGGCGGGCGCCGTTTATGAACGGCAACCCTCCCCTGGACTGCCACCATCCGTCCGTTTATATACAGCGTGTCCGGACAGGAAGCGGTTAAAATACCAATATTTATACAATGTATCCATCTGTCTAATTTGCAGGTTTCCTGATTGATATTTATATGAAGAGGCCATTTGAATATGTGGTCACATTTGTGAAAACATAAATCAGTACCTGGAGCAAAATACATTTTAATCTTTAATAGGCGTTTTACATGTTCAATAGAGTGGACTGTTTGAATGCTTATGGAGCGCCCTCCTAGTTAGCTAAGGGGAGCTAGAGTGCTAATTTCCAGTCAGAGGCTGAGTAGCAGCCTGATGTAACAGTCAGAGGGAGGTCAAATTGTGGTCAGGGCTGAGAGGCTCTGCAGACAAGTCTTCTGGAATTTCTCCATGCTCTAGAGGTTTGGAGAAAGGTCTAGAAGCAGTGGGTGGATCTGAGGAGTGGCTGATCTGCAAGCGGAGGCTTGGCAAGGGGCCAGGATAACCCTTAAAAGTGATTGAGCCGGCTCAGCAGCAGGAGAGTTTGGGTGAAAGAGAGAGAGAAGGATGTGAGGCTGGAGGCTGGAGCCTGTAAAGGGGCCCAGATGGAGAGGGACTCACCTGCAGGCAGAGGACCTTGGAAGGCTGAAAACCTGGGACTTCACAGCCCCCTCAGAGAGGACCACCTGTGTGGCAGGGAAGGAGCAGCCCAGCTAGAAGGCCTGGTAGAAGCCACAGCAACACAGGAGAGGGACCAAGTTGGTAAACCTGCACCCCTTGGCTCAGTAAGGGAAAAGGAGCACTCTAGTGGGGAACTGGATTTGCTATCTTACCCAGAACTGTTCACACTGCAGTGCCAGGCACTGGACCCCCTGCCCAGGGAAACACCCAACACAGCTGGATGAGAAGAGGGTTAATCTGGTGTATGGGGTGGTACAACAAGAGATGCTGGCTAGCGATTCAGAAGAGAAACTTTGCTGTAAAGACTTGTATATAGTTGCTAAGGAGTTTGTTCTCAATTTCCATTCTCTTGGGCATCCCGTACACCCCCTCAACCCATCCAAGTTCAAACCCCCCCTAATAAAACATCAAAACAGAGCTCAAGGACTGGTTACTGTCTCCAGATGCAAGTCTGAGCAAAGGAAATGTGTGATGCCTGGCTGTGCAGGACTGTAGGGGGACCCAAATCTATTGCAACTCCTAAGGGGGTAGTGCTACACATAAGTTATTGTGTTGAAGTACCTCCAAAAACTCCCATGGGTATCCAGATTTGGTTTCTCTTACACACAGGCCCTCTGCTTTCAGAAAACACTCCTCAGAACTCAGTAAACCCCAAGTGCTGGACTCCATTGAAATTCTGTGGGAGGCAAAACCATTTTTTTCCTGGCCTTTTAAAAAAATCAATAGGCGAGGGGATGGGTAGCTAGGCACTGCCATGGGGGACATGTGATATGCAAAAATGTTTTTAAAAATATTGTACAAGGGGGAAATGGTTTTTTAATGCCTCCTAAACTGTTACTAAACCCTGGACCCTGAATTCACTATATCTGGTCTCCCACAGGACACAGAACATGGAAATGCAATTATTTTAGTAAATATAAACTGCTAAATACCTTTATATAGCAGTCTTGTGACTTCTATCAGTGTCCAGCTGAGCACTGGTTAAAACTTGTAGGAGGAGTTTTCATTCTGCTTTGATGGTCCTATGAGGCTGCATAACCCCCGACCCTCTGTCCAGACAGCACTGATTGGCCCTGTGCCATTCACATGCACCCTCCCATAGAAAAAAAAAAAAACTCTCTAGCTACACACACTAAACTGAGCATGTGCAGAGTGCCTCCTAGAGCTCTGTACTGTCAGCAGATGGATTGGGGACAACAGAAGAAGGGGATGATCAGAGAAGACAGAATCAAACAGTGTTTTTATACATGTGGAGGAATAACCCCGTAGGTTCCACAGTGAGTATAACAAGCATGCTTTACTGAATATACAGACTGATTTTACTTTTGTGGACTTTTGCTCCCCTGCTGATGTTGAGTGTTCGCCCCCCACAAAGAAATGATCGGTCTAAAAATCGAATGTTCGGTGTATTGTAACACTGAGAGACGGAATAGCAACAACAAATTCAGCAGAAATGCGTCTAACAAATGATGACTGATCTGCATGTTCATGAGGGAAATAAGGATTTGATCCCCTTCACAAAACATGACTTAGTACTTGGTGGCAAATCCCTTGTTGGCAATCACAGAGGTCAGATGTTTCCTGGAGTTGGCCCCCAGGTTCGCACACATCTCAGGAGGGATTTTGGCCCACTCCTCTTGGCAGATCCTCTCCAAGTCATTAAGGTTTGGTGGCTGACGTTTGGCAACTCAAACTTTCAGCTCCTCCACAGATTTTCAATCAGATGAAGGTCTGGAGACTGGCTAGGCCACTCCAGGACCTTAATGTGCTTCTTCTTGAGCCACTCCTTTGTTGCCTTGGCTGTGTGTTTTGGGTCATTGTCATGCTGGAACACCCATCCACCACCCATTTTCAATGCCCTGGCTGAGGGAAGAAGGTTCTCACCCAAGATTTGAGGGTACATTGCCCTGTCCATCGTTCCTTTGATGCGGTGCAGTTGTCCTGTCCCCTTAGCAGAAAAACACCCCCAAAGCAGAATGTTTCCACCACCATGTTTCACAGTTGGGATGGTGTTCTTGGGGTCATAGGCAGCATTCTTTCTCCTCCAAACACGGCGAGTTGAGTTGATGCCAAAGAGCTGGATTTTGGTCTCATCTGACCACAACAATTTCCACCAGTCCTCCTCTGCATCATTCAGATGTTCAGTGGCAGACTTCAGACGGGCCTGGACATGTGCTTTCTTGAGCAGAGGGACCTTGCGGGCACTGCAGGATTTCAGTCCTTGTCGGCGTAGTGTGTTACCAATTGTTTTCTTGGTGACTGTGGTCCCAGCTGCCTGGAGATCATTGACAAGATCCTCACGTGTAGTTCTGGGATGATTCCTCACTGTTCTCATGATCATTGACACTCCACGAGGGGAGATCTTGCATGGTGCACCTGGCCTGGACATGTGCTTTTTTGAGCAGAAGACGGTTCCCACCCAAGATCAAATACTTATTTCCTTCACTGTAGGTGAACAAAGAATGTGCTCCAACCCAAAACTGAATCTCATCCGGTCACGTCTCTCATTATAGAGTCCCGGATCCCAGTGAGAAGTTTTCCTGGCAGAACCTCCGGCACTTCCCGGCATCCTCAGGAAAGAATTACAATCTTCAGACGGTTCTGTCTTTATTTAGCCCATTTGTTATGTTTGTGTTTCCTCTGACAGTCTCCATCACTCAGCGGGTTCTTTACGCCCCACCGTTGAAGGTTTTGCTTATTGTCAAGGCCGCGGCATATCAATCATATCTTTGAGGCCGTTTTTCGGGGCGGGCAGAGCGGGAGCCTCGTGCGGGGAGAAGCGCCCATGGCTCCGGCGAGATGAAGATGTCAGATGGAGACCGAGGGAGAGAAGCAGGGCACCAGCAGATATTATTAGACTAATATTTCCTCGTCCGTGGCACGTTGCAGTGTTCCGTTACCGCGCCTTAGGGTGGCCGGCTGCGCGGTTTACAGCCAGCGATTAAAGGCGGACGCTGGTTTGTTTTATGTAGAATCATCTGCAAATGGAGAATATACTTTTATCGCCTGTATCTCGTTGCATCAGCTTAAAGGGAAACTCAATCCCG